CCATGTGCTTTTCCCCAAGGGCTCATAGGAAGGCTGATTGTGGGGCCTGTCTCTCCTAGAACAGACTCAGCCATAGAGACTGGTGGCTGGATCCAGAGGTGTGTATTTTTCCAGTGTCTCCTCCACTGACCTTTAATGCACTGTTTGCCCAGCTTCCCAAACCATTAACTTCTACCTCCCAGCAGCCACACATCAATTAACAGAGGGCCTGCTCCAAGCTCAAGCTCCTGAACACAATTAAGCATGACAGTCCACAAATAAGAAAGAACTAGAGAATTAATTAAGGTCTAAACAAATTAATTACTAGTCCCCAATCGATTCCGATGCCAGCACACATGCTCCCGGGCTCACCGTCTTTCTTACGGTCTCTGTATATAAATAGAAATGAGATCTCCCACATGACTGCTGTTTTAGACCAGGGTATGGCAGGTGCTGAAAACCACCCTGACAGAGATGGCTGCAGGAAGCACTGGGGGCTTCCCAAGCACTGGGCATGCATGTGCACATACAACCCTCAATGAACAGTCAGGGGCAAATTTGGGGGTAGAATGCTTACTTCAGGGCACCGAGTAGCTAGGCCACTGGGGGACACATCCCTCAGTTTCTCAGCTGCCAAGGGAGGTTTCTGCATGGGTGTGGGTAACCATAGGAGGAGCTTTGGTCAGCTCAGCATAACCCAAAGTCAGAACCTGTGCATTCTTTTGTAAAATGAGGGTGGTAGGCTCTGTCTTAGAGTCCCCCAGCACTGAATGAGGAACACTGAAGGGAATGAGAACAAGGTGGCCTCTGGGAGTTCCAGGCTCTGACACCAAGGGCAGGCCTGTGGGGACTGTTGAGGTGGTCCCAAGAGAGGAGCTCAAGATGGATGGAGCAGCGGAGTGTGCCAGGCTTTCTGAGCCAGAGTGGGTAGAGGGTGGGGAGAGTGGCGGCCTTAGTCTTAGACAGCGCAGAGCACAGAGAAGACAGCCTTTCCTGCCTCCCAGGTTTTAGGCAGAGCAGCAGCCTAGAGGGGGCGCTCAGAGCAGTGGGAAGAACAGCCATTTCCAAGGAGCTTCCTTGTTCTCTGCCTACCCAGGGAGAGTGGGGTGGGTGTGGCTTCTTAGGGGATGTGACCCACACACATCTCCTAAGACATCCCCTAAGACTCTCTCCCATTCCACACCCCAGTCCAATGACAGGACTGCATATGAGCACGGCTTCCTACCTCCACCTAATTCCTACATCAGGTTCTCCCATCATGCCAGTGCTATAAGGGAAAACAACTATTTACAAGATGAAGTGGGTGCTGCTTCTCAGAGGCCTCTAACAGTAGCTAGCCTGCTATACAAAGTGAGGGTTTAGAGACACTCTGTCCTGACCAGGGCATTTCTGGGGAAAGGTACACAGAGGCCAGGTGCAGGGAGTAGTTAGAAGCTTTGGCCTCACAGAGCACCATGGCAGCGTAGACCAGGGGAATGAGTGCCCATTTGTAGATGGACCTGCTTCATTCCAGGTCTGTCAAAGAGAGGACTATCCAGTTGCAGACTATACTGTATACAACTTGTACAACTGGGTATAAATATAGGGTCTCAAATTGCTAGGCAAAGACTTGACTTGGGTGAGAGGGCTGAAGGCTCAACCCACGAAGATGGGGAGCAGATCAAATATGGCTGGAGCAGGTAAAAAACAAACACACACACAAAAAAACAAAAACAAAAAAACCCTCAGAACAGAGAAAGGGCCTCTTCTCCTGAAGGAGTCCCAGAGAGGTTAAGACCAACTCAAGGTCACACAGCAAAATGGAGTCTGGGCAGGGCTGGAACAAGCCCCTGGCAAAGTTCTTATCTAAAGCTTGCCCCCTCAGTCCCACCACTGATTACATCTCAGTGGAGCCCCAGATCCAGTTTATGGCAGCTGAGAGCTGCCCTTTCTCAGGCTGCCTCTGACCCTCTAGCCCCAGTAGCTGTGGACACCAGTTGGGCAGCAACATTTGCTCAATTAGACCTCATGATGAAGTCTGATTTAAAGAGTTATTCCATTAATGGCCCATGGCAGAAATAGCTGAGAGTTCATTAAAAGTGTGGAGTTGCTATAGCAATTATCTGGGTTGGCTGGGGCTCTGCTGGGTGGTTGGTTCTGGGAGTTTATTAGCCTCTGGGCCATGGAGGGGGTGGGCCACCCCATCTCCCCCTTCTGTGGACTATCCAGGTACTCCAAAGCACTTTCCTGTGGATGGCCTCGTGTGTAGCTCTGGTACGCTGGGCCATAGATGGGGAAGTTAAGACCTGGAGGTGACGGTTGGGTTGAGGGCCATGAGCCTGGGTCTGACTCAGCTCTTCAGATTGAGCCCTCATAAGGGGGTAGGGTATCACAGGACCTCAGGCTCTGGGCTGGGCTAGTCCTGACCTTTGTTCTCTAGCAAAGACAAAGGAATGCTCTGGTTAGTATGACATATTGTGCTGTATGTGAAGTGCTTTATTTCTTTTTAAAAACTTTCAGCAATGGTACTCCTCTCCCCAAACAAGGTGCTCTTCCTAAGAGCCAGGCTGGCCTTTGGAACAGCCTGAGGAGCAGCAGAAACTTTGAACTGTCCTGGGACCAGGCCCACTGCCATCAAGTGAGGTCTAAATGCCCCTTATAGATTCATGTTTCTAAATACATAAAATAAAATTTAGAGAAATAGAGGGATTAAAACAAGCTATCAATAAATAGTAATTGTACCAGGCATCATGTCACACACCTTTAATCCCAACATTCTTGAGGCAGAGGCAGGTAGATCGCTGTGAGTTTGAGGCTAACTTGTTCTACCTAGTGAGTTCCAGGCCAGCCAGGGCTACACAGTGAGAAATATCTCATAAAAAAACAAAAACAGGGGCTGGAGAGATGGCCTAGCAGATAAGAGCACTGGCTGCTCTTGGAGAGGACCTGGGTTTGGCTCCCAACACCCACACAGTGGCTAACAACCATCCATAACTCCACTTCCAGGGGATCCAACACCCTCTTCTGACCTCTGTGGGCATTGCACAACACAGGTGCATATACATGCAGGCAATGCACTCAAACACATAAAATAAAAATAATAAAATATTAAAACAAAATAATAATTATGATTTAGTAATAAACATGCCTCTAAAATTTTTATCATACTTATGTATGGGGAGGCATAAGTGCAAGTCAGAGGACAACATGCACTGGTCGGTTTTCTTCTTCCACCATGTCACCATGTGAGTCCCAGGGATTGAACTCAGGTCTTCAGGCTTAGCAGCAAGCATCTTTCCCTACTGAGTCATCTTGCCAACTCAGATGTGCTTTTTTTGAGAAAGGGTCTCATTGTAGCCCCAGCTGGCCTGGAACTCATTATGCAGACAAGGCTGGTCTTGCTCTCACAGAGATCCACCTGCCTTTGCCTCCCAAGTGCTGGAGTTAAAGGTATGTATACCACCACACCCAGTTTGTTTTTTTCTTGAGACAAAGTCTCGTGTAGTCTAAGCTGGCCTCAAACTGACTATATAGCCAAGGATGACCTAAGAATCCTCATCCTCCTGGTTCTACCTCCCAAGTGCTGTGATTATAGGTGTGCATTACTAAGGTCAGCTAGTAGATCTGCTTTAAAAATAAATGTATTTGTGCAAGAGTGTGTGTGTGTATGTGTGTGTGTCTGTGCATGTGTCTCTATGTAAGTGCAGGTGTGTGTGAGTCACAAGTCAGATAACTCTCAAGAATTGGTTCTCTCCTTCCATCACATGGGTCTTGCAGATCAAAATCAGATAGTCAAGTTTGATGGCAGGCTCCTTTACCTACAGAGCCATCTCACCAGCCCTGAATGTGCCTTTTAACTGATGAACTAAAAAATAAGATATAGCTGTTGAGGTATCAAATATGATCATTTTGGATTTGTGTTGAGTGGAAGCAGTACTTTAAGGTCTCTGAGTGACACCTGTAATGTGACATGAACATGCCTGTGAGTTCTTGCTGACAAAGCCACAAGTTCTGTTTTTTTTTTGTTTTTTTTTTAATCTTGTTCGCTGGGCACACTTAGGATGAAAGAAATGTTTTTTGTTTGGTTTTTTTTTTTTTTTTTTTCGAGACAGGGTCTCCCTGTAACCCCAGCTGTCATGGAACTCGCTATATAGACAAGGCTGGCCTTGATTTCACAGAGATCCACCCACCTCTGCCTCCAGAGTGCTGACACTAAAGGTGTGTGCCACCATGCCAGGCTAGTGTGAATATTTTTCCTAATTCATAGGATCCATTATGTTCTGTCTTCTAACCCCTGTGGGCCTGGAGACTCAGGTTAAGCCTCCCTGTGCTGGGTGGGGATGTGGTTCAATTGCTAGCATGCTTGCCTAGCACACATGAAGCCCTAGATTAGATCTACAGCACCTAATAAGCTGAGTGTAGTGGCTCACACCTGTAAATCCCAGCACTCAGGAGGTAGAAGCAGGAGGGTCAGAAGCTCAAAGTCATTTCCAGCTACACAGTGAGCAGCTGACCATCTGGGATATATAAGACCTTGTCAGAGAGACAGGGGAGGTGATGGGGGAGAGAGGAGGAGAATGGAGGAGAGGGGAGGGGAGGAGAGGAGGGAAGGATTCCTATGCTAAGTTGGTCATGAGTCTGAGGAAAGCCTCAGCTACACAGTAAGTACCAGGCCAGTCTGCACTACAGATTGAGACTCTGTCTCAAACAAATAAGGGTCTGGGGATGTATGTCACTTGATAGAATGCTTGCCTCACAAGCATGAGGCCCTGGGTTCCATCCCCAGCAATGAGAAACCAAACAAATAAACAGAATCTGTTGCCAATTCTCCTGCACTGGTCAGGAGGTTCCAGCATCCTTTCTTCTATCTCAATACATTTTGCTCTAGATCTCCCAGCCAGGAACTCATAAGCATTAGGAGGATGTGGTGTGAAAGGGCCACCATCTATCCACCTCCCTGGGCAACCCCCCAGTCTGCCACCACACACACACACACACACACACACACACACGCGTGTGTGTGTGCACTGTGCAGATCTTACCTACAGCGGGGAAGGGAACAAATCTCTGCACCAGAAGGCGAGTGGCTGGGGTGAATTTGTTGGCTTTCTGAACCAGCACATTAAGGCCCACCTTGGAGAGAAAAGAGAAACAGTGCTTGGTGTTACAGAGGCTTCTGGGAGGGAAGGGGCAGAACTGGAGGGAGAAAAGGTGCAGTCCTTCCAAGGCCAGCTGAGACTTCTGGCCACCAACTTTTGCCAGCCTGGCCTTGAGGTTTGAGATGCCCTACCCATCTCAGGCCACACCTGTTCCCTCAGGCCCAGCTCTGAAGTGTACCATCAGTGTCATTTACTAGCAGTGGGACTGTAGAAAAGGACAGTAATTTCTACAATATCCCAGGGCTGTGATACAAATGTATCATGAACTTGGCAAAGGAGAGGACTCAATAATTGCAGTTGTATAACAACGTCACCTCCCCCAGGCAGGCATGGCTTGCCTCCTGCTTCCTCCTGCACAGGGATTCTTTTCTCTTTTTTTCTTTTTTTCCTTCTTCCTTCCTTTTGGAAAGAGTCTTATATATTCCAGGCTGGCCTCAAATTCACTATGTAGCCAAGGATGACTTTCCTCAGTACCTCCCTCCCACCACTTAGTCCTGGCCTCATGAGTATTGCCCCTGCTGGACCAGGAGGGACGTAGGGACTGCGGGCCTTTTGTATGTTTGTGTACTTAACATTTAACACGTGCATTAGAGTAGAAATAGCTGGGCTCAGGTTGCCAGTATAGGAACAGGGTGATAAGAGCATGCCAGCTCCCTAGCTCCCAGGCAGCCAGGGTTCCAGTGGAGCTAGAGGGCTGCAAGCCACCTCCAGCCTATACTTGCAGTGCTACATATCTGTCCGAGCTGTCATGCTGGTGCACAGAGTCCTATCCATGTCCATGCTGCTCATTTGAGAGCAGACTGGGTGGCAGGAGCTGAGTGGCAGCAGAGCCATACTTTAGTAGTACAGCAGGGCCACCAGCCCATCCTGGGTCCTGTTGCTCACAGATGGAGTTCAGTAAGTCCAGGCTTCCCCAGCGCTCAGCAATGAGTGACTCTGAAATGGCTTCCTGCACCCCCCCCAAAAAAGTACAGCTAGAGAAATCAAGGAGGAGGCAGAGAACGCCCTGCAGATGAAGAGGGAGAGCAAGGGACTGAAAGAAGGCCTCCCACATGCTACTCAGCACATTTACATGCAACAGTTTTCCATTTCTGCAGTGTTGGGGACTGAATCCTGGACTCTGCATACTGGGTAAGTGCTCTGCCACTGAACTATACTCCTAGCCATCACATTCGATATCTTAACAAAAACCCCTTCAGAGAAAAAGTAGACTCAGAGAAGTTAAATACCTTTGCCAAGGACAGACAGCTATGTTACAGCAGGTAAAGCTAGGATTTGAACACAGGCCTGCTGGTTCCTAAGCTTTCCCTAACTGGGCTATTCACTTTCGAAATGGCCTCTGTGATATTTAATACTGTCAACTCAACAAGATCTGAAATCACCTAGGAGATAAACCTCTGGGCGTGTCTGTGAGAGAGTTTCTAGATTGTGCTGAGATATGAAATTCACCCTAAATGTGAGCCGGGGTCCTAGACTGCATAACAAGGGCTATGGGCTGTATACCAGCATTTATCTCCCTCTGTATCCTGACTGTGGGTGCAATGAGACCAGCCACCACCCGGCCACCATGCCTTCCCTGTCATGATCGACAGCCCTTCCTCAAGTTGCTTTTTGTCAGGTATTTGCTCACAGCAATGAGAAGCATGACACAGCCTCCTTCTCAGGAAGGGATGCTCTGATGCTTTCACACCACTTAACATGGACTGTGTGCATATCATGAGACTTCCTGACAAAGGTCCACTAGGGGCCCAGGTCCGGATAAATGAAAAATGAAAGGTAGGGCTTTGACCACCACCACCACCACCACCATCCCAACACACTTAGAAAAATGAGGAAGTATTGAAGAGTAGGAGCAGGAGTTGTGGGAGAGGGGAGCAGGGAACTCAGGGCTTCTAGGTCCTTTTCTTAGTCCTCTTGGGACTGGGCAAGATTGGAATGCAGGGGAGGAAGACTAGAGACCGTTGCTTACCCTGCCACCCTGAGGTTGTTCCCTATCTGGCTCACCATTCTTCCCACTGGCTAGGACTGCCACAGTCTGGAAGGGGTGCCCCAACCAGTTTGCCTCATCCCAGGTGAGAACCCCTGGAAGGGAAGGAGGGACTGGGTCTTTTCGGAGCAGCAGGAAACTGGTCTTCACTTCCCTCTGGCCTCTCATCATCAGTTCTAGCCTGGTAATCTCCTTGGAGGCAAATGGTCACAGAAGGTCCTTTGCCTCCTTCAGGCAATGGCTGTTGTCCCACAGGTCTTGAGCATGGGTTTGGCCACACTAGGAATTCGTGTGCAAATCTCTACCTTGTTTGTTTTCCCCCTATGCCCAAATGGAGCCCCTATTTGGCTAATTTCTATTTTGTAGCTGATTTGGAGACTGTTAAAACAGACCCTGGGGGACCCTCAGCAGTGACGGTTCCATATCTCATTATCTTTCCTGAACCTGATTATTAGCTCTGATTTTTCTGATCGCTAGCTGCTGTTCGTGATGAGTTGTGTGCCATTAATGCCAGCTGGTTCCCTTAAACAGGACCGACCATGCCAGGGAAAATGAGCTGGCATTCCGAGCCCCCAGCCACTTGGCTTTTTAATTTTAATGGGCTCCACCAAATGTTCCAGGCCAAAGGGCCCTGCGGAACAAGAACAGACGGGCTTCCAGCCCCTGATCTGCAGCCCACCCAGAGATCCTTCCCAAGCTGTGTCTGTTCCTGATCAAGGGGCTGGGGTAGCATGAGGGTAAGTGGCCACTTGCCTCCTCTGTGACTTTGGCACCTGTCCACATCCCTATTGCTGGCAGGTGGCCAAGTGGCCTCCCAGTGAATGTCCAACTATTCATAGCTCTGTCTCCACTTTCTGGTCCCAAGCTCCCACTCTGGGCTTGGGTGTGTTGGCCTGCTTTCAGGTAAACTTGTGTTTCTCGCTAAATGTCACCATATCCATGTGATGCCTGCTAGGTTTGGGGTTTTTTGTTTGTTTTGCATTTTATTGGTTGGGTTTTTAGAGATGTGGTCTCATGTAGTCCAGGCTGACTTCAAACCAGTCAAAGATGACTCTGAACTCCTGATCCAGCCTCTGCCTCCAAAATGCTAAGATTCCAAGTTCCTGCCACCATATCTGGTGTATTCAATGTTGGGGGTTGAATCCAGGGCTTCATGTATGTTAGGTATGTACTCTACCAACTATGCTACAGTCCCAGCTCAGGGGCATGCTGATTTTAAATCTTCCCTCTTCATTTTTTAAAAAGAATTTTTTTTGCTATATTTTATTTATTTTTACTTTATGTGCATGGGTGTTTTGTCTGCATGTGTGTAAATGCACCATGTGTGTGCAATGTCTGAGGAGGCCAGAAGAGGCATCAGATACTTTGGAATTGGAGTTACTGGTGGCTGTTAACAACCCTGTGGGTGCTGGGAACCAAATCCAGGTCCTCTGCAAGAGCAAGAGCTCTTAACTTCTGAGCCATCTCTCCAGTCCCCAAGAATCTTATTTTTTTAAGATTTAATTTTAATTATGTATATTTGTATGTTGGGGGTATGTGTGCACATGAGTACAGATGGCTGTGGAGGCCTGAGAAGGGCATCAGATCCCCTGGAGCTGGAGTTACAAGCAGTTGTGATCCACTTAGCATGAGTCCTCTACAAGAGCAGTGCATGCTTTTAACTTCTGAGCTACCTCTCCAGCCCCTAATGCTTCCCTCTTAACCATGTACTACACACATCTCAACAACCCCTCTCACAAGGAGTGGTGCCTTCATGTGTGTGATATTTAAGTCTATTTGCATTGAAGAAGCAGTTTCCCACAAGACAGAAAGAGGGCTAAGCATCATCAAGAATGCTAGGCAGGGTGGATGCCCATGACATAAAACCTTTAGTATCCTTAGCGCTACAGTCATCAGCAGCCTAAGGCCTATAAGGAGGCACCAGGTAGGCTGGATTGATGCCAGTAGCCCCATCTCACCTGGCTTCATCCTTCACTCTAGCCAGACATGTAACCACCTAGGGAATGCCTCTTTTGCAATAAGCCTCAGCAATCCACCTTCATAACTTACCCTCCACCACAACAAAGAGTATCTAGCTCTGCCTCACCCTCATCCACTACCAACTATGTGCTCCTGAAGAGACCACAGGATCTTTCTGGACAGGAGCTTCCCCAGGCCTGTAGGGAAGTCACCCAGCTCACAGCTCCTTGTCCTGTTCCCAGGCATCCTGAATGAAGCTCTTCTGTTTCTCCACTCCCACTTACCCTCACCTCTTCTCCCTATGTGACTGCCCTCTTCACTAGGCTTCCACTTCTGTCCCTCCTATTGGTTCTCCACAGAAGCCACAGGGTTGTTGGGATGGCTCAGTAGATAAAGGTGCCTGCTGCCAGGGCTGATGACCCAAGTTCAATCCCAAGGGCCAACATGTTGGAAGGACAGAACTGACTTCTGAAAGTTGACTCTGACAACACAAACATACACTCACACACACAAATAAAGTAAACATTTTTTAAAGTGGGGGCTAGAGACTTGGCTCAGTGGTTAAGAGCCCTGGCTCCTCTTGCAGAGGATCTGGGTTCCATTCCCAGCACCCACACAGCAGCTAACACCTGTCCTAACTCCAGTTCCAGGGGATTCAATGCCCTCTTCTGACCTCTGTGGGCATTGCATGACACAGGTGCACTTACATACATGCAAGCAATATACTCATACACATAAAATAAAATAACATTTTTTAAATAAAAAATAAAAATGAAAGTAGATATGGACCTGCTTCAGAGTTTACTGATTCTCAATGCATTTGAGGAAGCACAGAGCCCCAAGTAACTGTAACTCAGCATACTGCCTTGCAGGGCTCCTCCCATAAGTCAGTTCTTCCCACCCCACCTCAGAGCCTCTGCATACCCTCGGGCCTCCTCACTTTCAACCTAAATGTCAGACCTTTTCTTGACTCAGAGCACCCCTCTAACAGTCACTGGAAGAGCCTGGAATTTTATGTGGAAGTATGT